TGTGTGTGTGTGTGTGTGTGTGTGTGTGTTTTAAAGGTCAATTTCTTAAGCTACATTCAAATGGCCTGGAGAGCTTTGCCCTCTCTTGAGCAAAGCAAAGGATCTTTGGTGGTTGTTTCATCACTTTTAGGTAAATTTGACTCATTTCCCTTTACATGAATTTGCTATGACACATAAGTGATAAATGTACAGTTACAAAAGCATTAAATAATTCTCAAAAGGCACATTTTTATGCTTACGCATTCATATTTTTTTCAAGCTCAAGCTGAACATATAAAGCTATTTTCTTGACTCAAGTGTTTGAGAAAACTCTGCGATTTACTGGGACGTTTGTCGTTGTTTTAAAGGTAAAATGCCGAACCCCTTCACGCTGCCATACAGCTCAACAAAATTTGCCCTAAATGGATTCTTCGGGTCCCTTTATCATGAGCTGGCCATGAAGAAAAGCAATGTGTCAATCTCAATATGCACCCTGGGGCTTATTGATACTGATTCAGCCATGGACAAAGTCAGGTTTGTCAAATATGCAAAAGTAAGTATACACAAAGGATTTTGAAAAAAGAAAATCAGTTGCGAATGAGTTATTTTCTCTTTTTAGGGGCGTTACAAATATACCAGCCTACCCCGCCACAGAGGCCGCATTAAATATCATCATCACTGGAGCAACAAGACAACTGGACCTTTACTATCCGTGGTTCACACAAGTCATAACTCTAATAAAAGACTGGTCTCCTTCAATAACAAACTACTTCATCCAGAACTCCTACAACTACATTCCATGAACAATATTTGTTTGCAGCATTAATGCTTTTATGGACGTACATATGTGTTTAATTTTGTGCTACAATATCGGCACATTATATGATTAATCAGACAGCTACCCTTATTTGCTTTCAGTTTGCACATTGTGTTGTTTTTAATCATATAAATAAATAAAAAAATCACATTTTTGCAAAACAGACATCTCAAGCAAACTCAAAATTTTGGTTCTGTTTGAAACTTTACACGAGGAGTATAACATCTGCTCAGTGCAGTTGCTCAATTTGAACCCAAAATGATGATGGGAGTAGAAAAAA